ACATGGTGCATGGCGTCGTCGCACCGCGCGCAGCACATGCTGGTTCTTCAACCCTTTTTGGGCAGCTTCCAAGTGTCTTTCCCAAAGCAGCTTCCGCAAAGTCTTGGTAGGAGACCTCAAAGAGTGAAGTGCGCCACAGCCTCTTTTTTAGTTTTCTGACATGATACAGGCAAACGATAGGTGGTTTGGTATGAATTACCAGAGCCCGCTGTTATATACGTGTCTATATATATATATATTTATGAATGTGTGTGCGTTTTTTCAGATTTGCTTGGAGATGATTCGGGGTGTTCAATAAGCACCTCTGGTGGGTCCTGACGTATGTCTTCATGTCCTTTTCTATACTGAAGAAATCTGAAGGACAAAATCCTTCACCACCTGACATAATCATCCGAAGAATCCATGGCTGTCCCGGTGGCACCAGTGTGCTTCTTCCTTCAGCTTCAAGGCCCCCCAAAAAACCTAAGAAATGCGCCGCGGAGTGCCACGGCCCACAGTCTTCAATCTCCGCAGCGGTTCAGCTGGTCATTAGATCCAAACGGATGTCCAACTCTGACACTTGCAAGGTTTTTGGAGAACAACAACTTGGACCATGATGCAAAATGAGAGATACAACGATCACTGGACCTTGTTCACACTGATTATGCCGGTGTTCGATTAGTGTTTATCAAAACCATTCGGATGTTCGATCTCAAAATGCACTTCTTCGACCTGGATTCAAACAAACAACAAACACTGCAACTGATCAAAGGGACATGCTTCTCAGTTTCGATCTGAAAACCGTGTGTTCGTTTTGTTTCACCATCTGCACCCACGGAAGAACACTTGGGAATGGATCAAGGACTTGGGAAATTGTTGTGAAACAAGGTAAAACTCTTGGGTTTGGAGCTGATTCATGTCAAGCCTGGGGATGTTCGTTCGTATTTGATGAATCCCGCTGGAGAAGTCCTACTAGATCCGATCTTATAGGTCTGTCTCAAGTGGTCATTGGGTGACTGGCGAGCACCCTGTAGCCCTAAGATATGTCAATTGAATTGTGCCCTTAGCTCAAAGCCGTCTCAAAGTCTTGCTGGTGCATGCGTTCCCCCTACAACGAAAATCAATACGGCCTCCCCTAACCAAAAAAGAGAACAATATCTCGCATGTTGTCACCGCTTCTCACTCCTGAGCGCGACAGGGCCACCCGGCCAGGATGCGCTCGCCGCGTGCTTCCAGTTGTTCGCTGGTGACAGCGACCAGATGGACCATCTCGGAAGTGATCAACACGCCCAGGAGGAGGACCTGGAGCGCCAGCGCAAGAAGAGGTCACCCTTGTGTTTACCTTGTGATGAACCAACAAATTGTGAAGACATGACAAGATATGTCTTGTATATGTGGCCCGTTTGTTCTGGTGAGGGAGGAGCATAGGGGTCTCCCTCACTCCAATACAGACATGGAATGGCCCCTGGGAAGACTGGAACTCTGCAAACAGAGGTGAAGTCCACTTCCAAGATTTTCAGAGAGAGTGCGAGAGAGAGAGAGAGAAAGGGCATACCCCTGTCTGTTGTCCCCTTCAGCATAAGGCTGCCCTAGGAAAACAAACCGATCAACACACCAAACAGGCTGACAACAGGCTTTAAAATGCGGGAGTGGAACCAAAGGTGGATCGATCCATGGTGTGTTACTAAAGTTCATTGATGTGGGTCTTATTGCCCGCTACCATTGTTTTACATGTAGAAAATTACACCTAGTAGCAATGGCCTCCAACCTAATAGTGATGGCCTCCAACCTAGTAGCAATGGC